ATGTACAGCAAGGACATCTGGAATTTTATTTTTTAAGCGTGCTATGAAGCCTTTATGGCACCCTGTCATAGCCGGAGCGCCATCCGTAGCAACTGATATAATATTTTTCAAGGGAATCTCTTTCTCATCACAAAACTTTTCCAATGTATTTGAATATGGTTTCGCCTTTTGTATCGGTCACAAAATTTCTAGCAAACAATACTTCTTCACATATTTTCTCATCTTTAATAAACCTCACGTAAGACAGCAACAATGCTTTATTAGTTGGTAAAGTGGACTCATCGAGCTGAATTGAGATTTGACTAGTCCTCAGATGATTGCACAATGATTCTTCAATGTATTCAGCCATTTCATCAATTCGTCTTTGTACAGAATTATTACTCAAAGGAATTTTTCGGATAATATCTGCGGTTTATGAAGCACAGTAGTTACTACTTCCTTTATTGCTGGCAAACTTAACTCTTCTCCGACGTTGTGTGGTTTGCCGTTTTGAGCAATTAACAAAGAAATATTGTACGAAGCTCGAAGTCCGTCGTCATCTTGCTTAGCAGCCGCGGAAAAGAGTTTTGCTACACTTGGCTGAGTATTATGCATCTTCTCAAGGTCTTGAAAATATGCTACATTATTGTCTTTCTTACCTGGATGCATTTTATTCAAATGATCTTGCAGTCTTGAAGGCTTCATTGCTTCATTCGAAAATGTTTTTAGACATAGAAGGCACAAAGGCGACGATGGGTTTGTGGGATTTTCAATGAATCCGAATTTAATATATTCCGCACAGTATTGCCGTCTCTTCATTTTTACTTCCGACATTGTTTTGTTTTCAGAAATACATAAGTAGGTGTTGAACTTAAGTACTGCTTATCCGTTACGCGAGTAACCGAAAATAAAATAAATATTACGTTGTTTATATAGGATTGTATAAGCAGCACGCACCGACAGGAATAAGACAAACATGCATAAACTCGTTTATCTCATTTGACGCTCAATCGTACCCAACAAGTAAGAACAAGTATTCTATGCACCAGCCAATTGATACAGGAATGCACAAATCGGGTAATTTATCAAAAAGATGTCAAAACATAATTGCCCGCGGTACGAAACTTACCTATCTACGAAAATTACCTATCTAGGAATACTAATAACTATTAAAATTCGAAACTGAGTTGCCTTTTTGTTTTTTTGTTTGTGTCTACTTTAATTTCGAAACGGAGCGACCGATTGACATGATTTTTATTTTATTTATTCAATAAAATAGGACAGATATATGAACTACACGGAGAGAAATATCGAACCGAGTTAGTTTGAGCAATCTCTTAATTAATATTAGTTGATGTTCACAAGTTGTAGTCGAGAGTCGAGAGCTCAGTCGGTGTCTAAGAGTCTTCCTAGATGACATTACAAATCTCCCCCTAAGCGTCTACACAACGCATAGATACAAGCCAAAATCTTCCGCGGAATCCTCGCGCATGCTCGAGACTGTTCGCGCATTCGTGAGAATTCCGCAGCTACCGTCGGCGACGCCTGGCGAATCCGCGGGAAGTGGCGCGAAGGCAGGCGCAGTGTGACGTTTTTGACGCCTCAAGGCGGAGTCAATTGACACTTCCGTTCCATTCCGTTCCGCGGCAATGTTAATTGAGCTTAAGACGTTGTACAATGCGCACACAACCGATTACTGGTGTAGTGTTGTTGATGATGCAAATTCGTCGTCGTGCTCGACAATGAAACTTGTGCCCATCCACTTCATGGCAAATTTTGCATAAAGATCTTGGTTTACGTGCTTACAAGATTACACTTGTATTTGTACAGGAATTGAAGCCACACGATCATCGTTCACGCCGTACTTGATGCATGGGCCGAAGGAAACATTGCCATTGGTCCACAATTTCATTAGAAATTTTTGTTTAGTGATGAAGCTCACTTTTGGTTAAACAGAATTGTCGCATTTGGAGCGATGGTAATCCACTAACAATAGTTTTACAATAGCTAGTGTTATGAGAATGAGGTTTGTCCCTTTTTTTTTGTTACACGGCATTTCACCGAATCCACGAAAGAAGCCGCCTCCTCGCATTACGTCTGGCGCAATGTGGGCAACAATCGATGAGTATATTACGCTGATTGGCAAATCCTTTAGCCACTATGGCAAACATGTTCCATGCCACATGTCCACAGCTCAGCATGATCAGCGTAGCTAAGTTCTGGGCAGCTATAACGTAGTCTATGCCATCACCACGACAAGATGTTTAATATTCATTATTTAAAATTGTTGTTGCAATGATTGCTCAGACCGTAACAAGTCACATTATCATATTAAATAACATCTTGTTTATTTCAATCATGTCTTTTTTCAGTGTAACATCCATAAAACAAACAATTTCTAATTATCTCTTAATCTATTAATGTAAACTTGCACATTTGCATCTCTAACATTTCTGCATAAAGTTGTCGGGAACAAATTGTTACTTAGCAATAAGCGGCCTTATTTAGCTTATTCTTACGCAATAAATATTTCTTATTAATTCCTTCGTATTGAAAGACGAAACTTTTTGAAAATGGTAAAATAAAGGTTGTTTGTTCTAATAATAGAAATGCTGTATTAAGAGATTCTGAAATTAATTGGCAATTACCGTGTACAAACAGGCAAGTGGAAAGACTGTACTGATGAAATGCGGTCACCTCCGCCCCTAGACAATGTTAAAGTTAAGAAAGGATCGTTAACAACGCAGATTTCTTGCCGGTTGAAGAAGAGCTTAAGTGTCCTGTATGACGTTATTGATATACCTCCTTTACGCACGAAGCGCTTCTTCTTCTTCCTAAGGGGACGTACAGATCTAGTGAATGCGCTGCACTCTACACGTACAGTTAATTGGTACTACCTCAGCTCGAATTCAATTTTTTCCCGTACTAATACGGTTCATACATAGGGCGCACTATAAGTTTCCGGAACTGGCCACTTACATAAACAATATTTAAAAAGTAATTACAACATTTGAAAATGGAACTCTTTGGCTGTAGAACACAGTTTGTTTCATCTGACTGTCACTTGTTTTTGTGGCGTCATGTTAGAAATTGGTTGTCTACATCAGCATGGACTTAACTCGTGAAAATTTTCGTAGTATGATTTTCTACGACTTTCAGGGTCGTATTCCAGAACTCTACTCAATACTCAAGTCAGGACTTGAGTATTGCAGTGAGCACTGAAAATCATACTCAAGTCCTTGCCATTAGGGTCGTATTTCCAGTGCTTGAAATCATACTCAAGTCTGCTCAAATCCTGACTTGAGCATTGAGTAGAGTTCTAGAATACGACCCTCAGATTAACACAAGGACTTGAGTATGATATCAATAGCTTTGAACCATACTCAAATCCTGACTTGAGCATTGAGTAGAGTTCTAGAATACGAGCCTCAGTGACGAATTTCGTAACGATCGCCCGTCCACTGCTATGAACAACAAAAACATCGATGCTTTGCGCCGTGTGATCAAAACAGATAGGCATGTGACATACAATGAGATTCGAGCATCTTTAGGCATAGGCACAGGAAGGTTTTATTAACATATTATTGATCGATCGAAGGAATTTTTTTTAGTGTTCGATTTTTGTATTTATACTTACAACAAGCTAGTGGAGTAATTTCACATGACATAATTTAATATCATAATAGTTGAACATCACGATATTTAATAAATTAAAATTATGATTAAAAGTTATTTATAATGTATTGCTAAGTGGTAATTTTTATACAAATTTGTCTATCCAACGTAACTCGTTTTAAACATTAGTGGAAACTGTTTTGGCTAGTGTTTGTGTCATATGTGTTAAAAATGAAATGTATTACATGATGCTGTATGTTTCCCAAATAAATAAAATGAAAATAAGTTTAATTTGTAATTTCTTGCTTACACAAAGGCGCAGTTCGTTTTGTGAATATGAAAAACTTGCTTAGCCCGCCGCCATCTTTCCTTAGTCGATGTCAAAGTTCATTTTAGAAATCTCGGCCTATGTATTCGATTTCGATTTGCGACTTCAATACGGGTTTCTCTGGGAAAGCTGATGTAGAGGCACCCCACGAAATCACAGATGCATTTTTTAAGATCATTTATATACCTACTATTAAAACAGCTTTTAATGATAACGAATACCTCGAAACTATTATTACATCAGCTGTAATAAACGTTGAATGAACGATTCACAGTTTACTGATAAAACTGATAATTAAATCGGTCAATGAACTTGAACCGTGATTTCAAATATGTGTTAATTACATTTTGATTTACGACTTGTTTAATGAGTACGTGTCAATTTAGTCGAAACGAAATGGTCTGGTCTATGCCTGGCCGAGTAAAAAAAATATCCGTTATTGGTAAATAAAAATTCGTATTGCGACGTATAACACAAATAACGATCGGATTTTTTTTAACATAACACAAGCTGTTTTCACTTCCCGTATAATGATGTCATCAAAAATCAGTGCTGCGTGGACAGTATCTACAGGTGATTGGATCTTCTATCTATTGTTTTCAAATCCACTTTTGATCCAGTTCCCGTGTTCAACATCATCATTTGTATAGTTTTCCTGGCTATCTATCAGTGGTATATTTACTTTAATATCAAGTGGTGTATGATGTGGCGTTATAACAATAATAAAAGGAATTGGTTTAAGTAGACCAGTTGATGATTGGTCGACGACTTTATCATCTCAGCCTTGACCATGAAACGTTGGTTTCTTTGAAAAACAAATATATGAGATTTAGATAAAAAAAAGACTCATTTGAAATGTGTAACAATCGCGAAAACCTAAGAACTCGAATTGGTTTAATATTTAGTAAAATAAGTAAACAATTTTACTGCCCTGTCAATAATAACCTTGAACAAAAATAATCATAGTAACATACGAGAAGAAGATATGAAAAATAAATACTAGGATGTCACAAATACCCAGGACTAGGTAAACTCACGACAAGCCAACAAACAACACACAATATATTACTACACTTACCTTCAAAGATATTCTGTATGATGAGGTAGCTCTGCGTAACGACGATCAGCAAAGCGACGTGAGTCCATGCGAATAGACTGAACTGACGCATGTAGTAGCGTTTCACCAAGGAGAGAACGAACCATACGAATCCGCAGCAGTACAGACTGAAGGATATGAACCGATGGTACGTCACTAGGAAGCGGAGGTAGTCCTGTGAACAAAATGCAACGTTTAGAGTTCATTTACGTTGCTTCGCATGAAGGGGTTCTACAAGGGAGTGCCTAAGGACCAAAACCGTTTGTTTTATATGGAATTAATAGGAGCGGTATAGTTGAAGAAATATTATCTGCACCGATGAATGTTATCTCTTGGAACGGCTTATCCTTTCTATTACTATAGGGTAATAAAACTATTAACACTTGTTTTACTTAAAGCGTACATGGATTTAACTATATTGGTGTATCGTACGAGTCATGGGTGCATTGAATGCTTTTTCGGAATTCTAGTTTTGAATTATTTCTTTTCTCAACAGGTCTTTTTTTAACAGTAGGTACTGCTTAAAATACCGACCGCCAACTTTTTTCTTACTAATTCAATGCCAATGCGTTTGCACTGTACAGATGGCACATGCTTTACCGAGACGGATCACTCTTATGTCCTATTGTACTCTATACATGAGGCGACAAGACGGATGGGTGCAAATAATAATTCGCTAACTATAACACAATCTTATAATTTAACAAAAATAAGTTATTATACGAGGAAATCAGGTAAGGTTAAAAATAACAATAACAATTTGTAATATTAAGCCGACAACAAAACCGATAGTGGATTTCGTGTCTTTAAATGTTTACGTACTTGACTAATCCCCTAAGTATAGATAACGGGAAAGTGATATATGATATCGGCATCTGTAGAAAATAGGCTTAGAACATGCAATTTGGCCGTGCACGCACGGACCTGCTTACCAAAATTGTTACTTTGCTGAGTGAACGTTTTTCTAGGATAACCCATTATTTTATTTATTTAATACGGTACAAATACAGGTAAAATACTGTAAATAATACTTAGAACTATTGACATTCTTAACATAAAAAATCTGACATCTAATTACAATTCATATAATTTTATTTATTTATTTTAATTAATAATAATGTTAGACATGGACATTTAAAGAAAATATTGACGTCATGGTTTATTGCAATGACAGAGTACAGTGATGTTTTGAAGAACAATGCTATAATAAATAAAATTAAAAATTAAACAAACCCGAACAAAACATGTACTCCACCAAAAACTCAACTATACTATCGAAATAAAGTTTATTTTATTAATTTCATGACCTTGTGAGGATGCACAGTAATATTGCGACAAAAGAAGGGAAGTTTCTGTGAGCGACTGTACCATAATCCAAGAAAGTGTGATTCTTTTATTTGTGACACTCTTGAAGCCGATGTTCGAGGGTGCGTACACATCTGGCGAATGCGACACAAGTGCGCCTGTTTGCGAAAGGTTCGCGAGCTGCATACGAGCATTAGGTTATGCGATCTATTCGCGTGACTCTCGCGCGCCACTTATAATAAAATAATACTTCTAATTGCACGCATGCAGCACGCGTGCAGTTTGCAAGCATCGCGCGCGCAGCGCACATACAGCGCGTTAGCGTCTCATTTGCCAAATCTGTTATATGTGTTTGGACTTTGGACATACATTTTTTTTCTTTATTATATCACTAGTTCAAAAAATGTTTATTATTGTTATATTTACTCTATAATAAATACTAATGTATTAGTATGTACATTAACTCACAATATTTAATGAATACTCTTTTATTTTTTTATTTTATTTTTTATATAACTCAAGGATAACATAATTGGCATAACATAATTATTTTACGTAACTCAATTTATTGCAACCTAGCAGTAATAAGTTGTTGTTATCTGAAATAAATACGTAAATAAAAAGAAAAATAAATAAAGTACTTCCAAAGTTAAATAAAACGACATAGGTAAAATGAGGAACTTTTGACAGACTTAAAAAAAAAGGACGACATTGTCAATTCAACTATATTTTTTTGTGTACGTCACGCGATCAATCCGACATTGGTGAATCGATTTTTGGTTGGAAAGGGGGTACGTCCCTAGTGGTCCCATTCAAATTTGAAGACAATATTCCACCACTAAGGGTGGCAAATAAGGGGAAGAATCCAGTTCATTGGATTTCACCCACTTTCCGTTAAGAGATTTCAATAACACTTGGCAAATAGACGCAATCCCACAAACTTTTGCGGCCGGGTTTTCTCTTTAGTTATGATTATAAAACATATTATGTATAAACATTAACAAAATACGTTAACAAATTACGCTCTGAACTTGAGTGAAAGAAAATGTATGTATGTATGTATTAATATAATGTCTTATCACTAAATATTTTGTCACTTGTGATCGGGACTCTAAAGCGTCAACAAGTTTTTATTATTGGTTTAAAAATTAAATTGAGGTCTGATTGGTTTTAAAATGCCGAAGACTAATTTCACTGTAGTTTGGAAAATCGAGTGAAAATACAAATTTTACATGAACAAGGAAAGTCGCAAAAAGAAATTGCCAAGTTAGTGAAATGTTCACGTTGCGCCGTGCAATCTGCTATTAAACGGTTTGCTCAGACTGGCACTCACGCTAATAAACAAAGAACAGGCAGAAAAAGGGTAACAACAAAACGCGAGGATAGAAAATTAATACGCGAATCGATGAAAGATCGGAAGAAAACTTCATCAGAGCTTGCTGCTGCCTTGTCCGAAGAGACTGGAAAAGCAATTAGTGCTCGCACAGCAAGGAGAAGACTTGGGGAAGCTGGTCTAAAAGGATGCAAAGCCAGGAAGAAGCCTTGGCTCTCAGAAGCCAACAAAAGGAAACGTTTAGAGTGGACTCTACGGCACCAACATTTTACGGAGGAAGATTGGTCTAATGTTGTGTGGTCTGACGAATCTAATTTTGAGGTAAGTTTATTTTACTGGGTTCTTTACCAATAAGTATGATCACTTATTTATTTTACTTAAATGGAAAAAGTTATGGCCTTTCAAAAAAAAATAACTTTTTCGTTTCTTCTCTAGGTGTTTGGAACACCAGGTGTGACATTCGTCAGACGTCGTGTGGGTGAAGAATACCATCCAGATTGCGTCGTACCAACTGTCGAGCACGGAGGAGGCAGCATAATGATCTGGGGCTGTATGGCTGCTGATGGGGTTGGCGAAATGTTTGTCTGCGAAGGCCGTATGAACAGCGAAAAGTACGTAGAAGTACTTGAATCTGCGCTTATGCCTTCGCTAACAAGCATTTTTGGCGGCACTAACTTAGATGGAGTCATATTCCAACAAGACAATGCGCCTTGTCATAAGTCAGCGACTACGATGCGTTGGTTTAGGGACAACAACATTGAGTTGTTGGATTGGCCGGCCCAGTCCCCAGATCTGAATCCTATCGAGCATCTCTGGGGCATTTTAAAGCGTAGGATTAAAGAGCATATTGGCATTACTTCTAAAACGGCCCTAAAAAATGCTTTGATAAATGAATGGCAAGCTATTACGAGAGAGGATTGCTCTAAGCTTGTGCGCAGCATGCCAGACCGAATAAGCGCTGTGATTAAATCTAAGGGTGGACCTACTAGATTTTAAGTTATTTGTATTTGTTTTTATGTGTTTTAATTATAATAAATAAATCAAGAAACAGGAAGTTGTTTTTTTCCATTTTTTAAAGTAAGTTTTAGGGTGCCTAATACTTTTGGCCAAGGCTGTAGGTACATTAATGGCGAATCTGAGTTCTATTTACTAGGCACCAACATTTAATTCATAAATAGAGCGTATCTTGCCATGACAGTTAGAAGCACGCGGTCGTTGCGCGGCAGCAACGCGGCCTCCGCACGGCGGGCGCGATGAAATTCGGTTCAACTAAATACTCCCTAAAGGAGATAATTACATTCGGTTTAAAGGAAGTTAAATTACTTAATTTTTTTTTATAATAATCATGGTAAGCGACACGCCTGTCCCTAGAAGTTACAGTGCCACTCAGAGTTTTAATTCGCGAAAATCTGAGGGGCACTAGCAGACGCCCGTCACCCTGAGACATAAGTTGACAAGTCCTATATGCTTGTGGTTTCAACAGCACTCCTATCCTTCAAAACCGGAACGCTGTAACACTCACATTACTGCTTGGTCGCAGAAATAGGTACGGGTGGTGGTAGTATTTCCCTGGTCAAACTCACAAAGAGCTCTACTGCTACTAAAACTACTTCTTAAATCGGATTAATGTAGATATATGTATATACAGTCTGTTTTTTTTTAACTGGGACAATATGGGAAAATCCGAAACCATAGGAGAAACAGGGAGCCCATTTTAGAAACCATCGAGTCTTTTTTTGAGAAAACAATTTGAGCATATTGACTATGCTCTAGTATTCAGTCAAGACTGTTTTTTACAGGGATCATTGTATCGGAAGAAAACACGGACAGCAGAAGTTGGTCAAATTGAATTATTCATTTTGTATGAAAAAAAAAAAAACTTTTTATTCAATTTGCCCAAATTCAACTATCCCGACTTTTTCTTCCAATACAATAAAATGCTCAGCCAAGTATAACGTATGTAATCGCCCAAATTCAGCGCAATACCTTTAAAACGTTGGCTCACAGCGTGGTTTACCGCATTAAGCAACAATCAAGTTTTAATTTAATTAATTGGCGCGACCTAGAACTCGTACGGTTTTAATTTGCGGATGAATTTGAACAGTACGGAAAAAATAAACTTAATACTTAATTCGTTCGTCCAATAACATAAATATTTGCCCAATGGAAGTTTTGAAAAAGGTTAGGGAAGAAAGATATCTCTTGAATACAAAGAGAACAGAAGTAGTAAGGGTGCTGGTGAACTTATAGGCACATGGGACTTGTCAACTTATGTCGCAGTGTGACGGGCGCAGTGGTAGTGCCCCTCAGATCTTTGCAATTTAAAGCTCTGAGTGGCACTGCGACTATTATGGACAGGCGTCTGGCTTACCATCGGGCGCACGACTTGTTCGTCCCGTCACTTGATGTTCTAAAAAAAAAAGTAGGAAAATTTTTGAACATTTGTTACGTAAAATCGAAAAAAAGTGAGGGGAAGGCCATATTGACCTTCATCGAACTGGGCACCTTTATGCAATATTACAATAATATTCAATAAA